CCTTAGACTAAGAATAGCTAAGAGCGTTGTTATGATCTGGCCTTAGATTAAGAATAATTTAAGAGCACTATTGGATTAATATCTGAATTGAATAAAATGTGTTGATATGAACTGAATAATACCAAAACTGTGAATGTCTGAAATGAACATTGTGTGCATGATATCAAATGATTTGATTATGAATTTAGATTCAGTTTATATGGATGTTCGACGCATTAGATATGCTTACTCAGCTTTACCGCTGAGCGTGTAGTGTGTTTTATTTGCTACACGCAGGTAAGCAGAAAGCACAATGTGATCCTGGCGGCAGATGGGGCGAGATTGTCGGGATGGATGTGACAAGTTTTGAAACAATTTATGATATGTCAATATTAAAATCGCTTCCGCAATATTGTTGAATACTCCGTACTGTATATGTTATGAAAAATATTATTGGGATTAATCAAGTGTGTTTGAAAAGTTTTAAATTTTTACGATTACCAAGTTAAATACTTTAGTCCGAATGGGGCTGCAGACCTGGACGGATTAGGGTGTTACATCTTCAATTGGACTTCTTATTTGAGTTACTTCAATTGGTGGTGTAGGTTTAAATCTTTTGTAATAGAATTCCAAACCTAACAAAATATAAATCATTAGCACATTCATATTTAATACCATAATTTATATTCTTAAAAAAGATAATAATCTAAAATATCAATCACAACTTGTGTTACCTTTCATTGTTTGAAAAGTATTCACTCTTCACTCCTTCAATTGAAATAATAGGAAAACCTGTGTTACTCCAGTTCTCCTTCCGAAACTAATAATTTAGTATCAATTATAAAATGAATTATGAATTAAAAGAAGACATAATGTATTCTTAAAAAATTATAGAGTTGCAAAATCAATTTTAAAAATTTTTCAAATAAAAATTAGGACTCATCACTCATCAGTGGCTTAGCACAGTGCAAAAAAAAACTCCAAAGTAGAAATCTAATTATCTAAAGGGAGATTAAGGTGCAAAAATCATAATTTGTAAGATCTAATTTGAGATCCGATTAAGGTAAAAAATCATAAATCTAAAGGGAGATAATTTTTTCAAAATTAAACTCTCCATTAAAAAAATAGCCCTTACCTCAGTGCCTTACTGCCTCCACCAACCCGCCACGCCGCTGCCAGTCGGTCACCTCCTCCAGTCCTCCGGTGCCTTCCCGCACGCCACCGAAAAGAAAATCGAAGCAATCCGGACGGAAATTTGTAAGATCCAATTTGAGATGGAGGTTTTGAATGTTTGAAATCTTGTGACTCCCGTCTATCTAAGTGTTATGGATAGTAGAGTAGGATATTTAGTATTATTATTATTATTATTATTACTATTATTATTATTATTGTTGTTGTTATTATTATTATTATTATTATTATTATTATTATTATTATTATTATTATTATTATTATTATTATTATTATTGTAATTTAGGTTTTATTAGGTGAGCGAAATTATAAGCTCCTTTGAGGTTTCTTTACGTTTCTTTCCCTCGTCGCTTTTATTGAACCGTCAGATTAGGTTTATGGTTAGCTAGGGTTTCCTTATCTCCTATAAATAGTGATGTAACCTGATTTAGAATATTCAATCAATAAACAAATCAAACCCTAAATCCCTTCCTCCCTCGGTTCTCCGATTCCCTCCTTCGCCTCAATTATTCTTCTTCTTCTTCCTCGTCCCATATTCTCAAGAGCTCGAAGTCGCTCGGAGTCTTCCCTATCCGATACGTAGTTTGTATCCCATCAAATCTTGAAGCCGATCCGGGAAAAAGAGTTCTAATCCATTCTTTGACAAAGAATCTGGATGAGAGAGAAAGTATTCGTAGAAAGTACTTACTCAAGGGTCTAACAAAACCAAAGCTTACATGTTATCCTCAAACTCTCATTTATGATGTCCCTCGAAGATTCAATCAAAAATAGTATGTGGAATTCAGTGGTTGGTTAGAGTATAGTGAATCGAAAGATGCTTGTTATTGTCTCTATTGTTACCTTTTCAACATAGAGTTTGGTAGTTCAAGCTATGGTCACGATGAATTTCTTAGGACGGGATTTAGGTGTTGGAATAAAAAAAAAGTAGGTTAAGAGTGTTGGTCTTATGGGGGACCATCGATCACCCTTAGGGATTCGCTACTTTGCTAGTCACGGTATCGGGTACTGACAGCCCAACCTAACGAGGTACACGAGTCGTGTATCTTGCGAAGCCCCTCCTGTCCATCCACCGCTCAGTAGTGGGGCTCCGCACTGCCGTAGTGAACTATAGGGGGTGCCCTATAGGAATCTACCTCGGCTTGGGGCTATAGAGAGATGTGGTTAAATACAAAGTGTTCACGTTCCTATCACCAATTGGTTTTAAAAGAGTTGGTAGCGCCTGAGGTCCTACAAGTGGTATCAGAGCGAAGAAGCAGACTCGAATCCCCCGGGTGTTGCTGGGGGGAGATTGTTGGTCTTATGGGGGACCATCGATCACCCTTAGGGATTCGCTACTGTGCTAGTCACGGTATCAGGTACTGACAGCCCAACCTGGCGAGGTACACGAGTCGTGTATCTTGCGAAGCCCCTCCTGTCCATCCACCGCTCAGTAGTGGGGCTCCGCACTACCGTAGTGAACTATAGGGGGTGCCCTATAGGAATCTACCTCGGCTTGGGGCTATAGAGAGATGTGGTTAAATACAAAGTGTTCACGTTCCTATCACCAATTGGTTTTAGGAAGCATTTGACACCTCTTTAACTTCAGAACTCTGTAGTTAAGCGTGCTGCAACGGGAGTAGTCCCAGGATGGGTGACCCACTGGGAAGTTCCAGAAAAACGATCTTACAAAGAGTTCACATGGGGGACCATAAAAGTGTTCATAGTAAATGTTTCCAAGTTGGGCAAGATTTGATGAATACATCAAAATATATTGACATTACTCTTTTGAATATTTTTGAGCAAGAAAAAAAAGATTATCGTATTCGGTTGAAGACGTCTTTGAGTTCTGTCAGATTTCTTTTAAGAAATGGTCTTCCTTTTCGTGGGCATGATGAATCTGAAAGTTCAAGTAGAAAGGGGTTATTTCGAGAGACTTTGATTTTTATTCCATGCCAAATAAAGAAATGTGGAGTGTGGTTTTAAATAATGCTCCTCACAATAACAAGATGACATCTCCAAAGATTCAAAAAGATCTCGCTATTGCTTGTGCTGATTTAACTTTCTTTCGTGCATAGTTTAAAAAATTGGAGATGACTATTATTCTTTGCTTGTGGATGAAGCTCAATAAGTGTCAATTAAAGAGCAAATTGTTGTGGTTTTACGATATATGAACAAACAAGGTCTAATTGTTGAGCGTTTAGTTGACATTATTCATGTTTAAGACACTACATTCATGTCTTTGAAATTAGCAATTGAAGGAGTTCTTGCTAAACTAGGACTTAGCATATCTAAATGTCGTGATCAAGGTTATGATGGAGCTAGAAACATGAGAGGTGAGTTTAACCTTAATCGACCTCGACCCGCCTAAATCAAACCCGAATTTGAACTATGTTGGGTCTAGTTTGGATATAGTAAAATCTGAACTGAACCCGACTTGTTTCTATCCCTAACAACAACAGACAAACAAAATGCTTGATATCTACCAAAAGATTCTTTTACTTTATTACTACATATTTTCTTGCTACATGTTTATTTGTATTGGCTTTCATGGATATAATGTAGCACACACACACTAGTATTTACTCCGCATAGTAGTATTGTAACAGAGTATTTGTTTTTTTTAACAGGAGAATATGAGAAAGCAAGTGGAAGCTAATAAGTGTGGAGAATATTATATGTGTCATCTCCCTTAGTGCGTCAGAAGACAATATTCTAGCGATGATTATTGGCGGCCGCCTCGGCAAGGAACATGTTGAGCAAGACAAATGCACTACGAGGCTTAGACTGCGGAACTACTTCCCCAGCCCCTTTAACCGTGGCGAATGTTAACCCATCATAAACCACTTTGTACCCTGCCACCTGCAACCAAATGCCAAAGCCAAGCTATTATATTTATCAGTTATATTGGTTTTTGTATCTTACACATTAACATTAGTCTTTAATGTTGAACTCATCATTTCTTTTAAGTTAATACGACACGATTCTGATATTATTTCAAGAAAACAATTCATCAACTAAATATAAAAATTCAAGTCTAGGCTTATATAGAGCGAAAGAAATCAAGGCTTACGTTTTCAGAGGAATCCTTCCATAACTGCCAAGGTGTGACGACTTTCAGGTTCATCGCATCAAGTGAATACCGCGTTGAAGTTACGGGGATTATAGCATCAACATCCCCACTACATAATCGTACGTAGGATCAATAAATAGATTTTGATCATTATGGTGTTTCTAAAAATATATATCATCATAGGTGCATACCTATAAACAAGTATTTGAAGACGAGATGTAATTAGCCTTTTATATATTGGGAACATCGTTGTTGGTCTATCTGTCCACTTCGTATAAACCTCGTTACTGCACACACACACACAAAATGTTGTAGCAAAATAATTAGTTCTATTAATACACAACGTATTAAAATAAATAAACCAATGTTGTGTCAAATTAAAGGTCGTATGTACTTTAATTCGTAACACCATTACCGACGAACACATACAACATATGACAACAATAGATGGATGAAACACGAACCTGCCGATGTACCAAAGATATGGAAGCTTGGTGGTGTTAGCATGCAAGGCTTTTTGGACCTCAGGGAGATTGAAGTAACTGTGGACATACTCATTTTCACAGGGGTCGTATCCGAATCGCCGTTTATTGAACATTATTGATGAGCGATTACGGGAGGAATCGAAGCACAAAGGGCCATAGATGTTGTGAGTGTCTATGTATCCGATCTCTGTGGCTGCTTCGTTTAGAGAATGTTCACATGAGCTATCATTGGTGATGCAGTGTTTTAGCAGAGCTTGGTGAGCTTCATTTGAGATGAGGGCGTGGCTCCAAGCGTAGTCAATAAAACCTCTAGTGTCCGTGGGAATATTCATTATCCCATTTTCTATCTAAAACAAATCAAACCACAAATATTTGCATTAAATAACACTAAAACTTGAGTTATTTCCCTAAATAGCACTTAAACTGTTTTATTCCCTAAATAGCCCTTAATAATGTCTAGAAGGAGGAATAATGTCCAATGATGACAAACATTTACTTGAATAATGACTAATGGATAATGACTAAAAGTGCAACATTGAGAAAAAAACACATATGATGTTATTTAGGGAAAGTCATATATTTTAGTGCTATTTAAGTAAATTCCCATGAAACTAACCTTGGTTGGCAAATTATATTATACATCCAGTTGTACCCAATTTTGGGTACAACCAAGAAATTATTTATGGCATGTATTTTATTTTACATGAGAATGAACACTAAGTTATTTGAGAATGAGTATTGTTTTGTTTCAAAATGAACACTACATTTTTTGTAGATGAATATTATAATTATATTGAACCAATGTGTGAAAATGAGTACTGCATTATTTTAGAATGAGTACCACGCTAATTATATTTGTGCGAGAATGAGTACTACTCTACTTCACAATGAGTACTACCCTGGATGTACCTATCTCTAGGTAGATCCTGTTGTCATATATCTTCTCACCTTGGTTTAATATATTTCAAGACTATTTGGGGAGTATTTACCATCATCATGATAGTTTTAGTTTTATTTTTATTTATGTAGCACTTAATTAATTAACGACATACCATAATACCCTTGAGATTAATCTTTAAACTATTTTCGGTCGCTATCTTATTCTTCTTGATAATAACATCAGCGAGCTCTGGGATGTAGAATCCTGTGATGACGTTCCATTGTGAAAAATGAGAAAAAAAATTGAAAATAATTAAACAAAAGCTTATAAACAGATCCAAGCGAGAGCTTAATATTTCACCTTGTATTGTGTAGTCCTATACTAATATCTAGGGTAATATCTAGGGGTGGGGGAGATGGAGGGGCCACTATGGGGCACGTTTGACTCCCTCCCTTCCTGTGTCACTATTTGACCACGAATCAAATATAGTAAAATTATATTCGTAAAATATTATAAAAATTTTATATTTTAAAACTATATTTTAAAATAAACCTAATTTTATTAAATTAACTTTTTTTGTTATCTTTTGAATGAATTTGTCCCCCCAATGTATTCACTACTCTGGCTCCGCCGTTGCTAATATCCCTATGTCTCGGATTTTTTTTTTCATTTTGACTTTTGTGTGATTCATATTTTTGAATTTTGATCAAAAATTACCGATAAAAACATGTAATACAGATATAGAATTAATATTAATAAATTCATTTTCAAACATAGTTTTCTAATATCATATTTTTTACTCCCTCCGTCCTAGAATTAACTTCTCATCATTTAACTTTTCACGTTTTCTAATGCAATACTTTGACAATTAATATCTTTATTTTTATATAAACATATACTATGAAAATAAAATATTTCAAAATTATGTTTTAAAATGTATCTATTTATAATCAATTTATATGAAATTTGAATGTGTTTTTCCCGTAATATGCATAGAACTTAGAAAAATCGCACGAGAAAAAAATGAGAGAGTAAGAGTAATTACCAGAATAATCCTTGCCAGCAATGTAGAAATCCGTGGTCTTGTATTGTGGGTATCTCTTGAACCAATTTTGTAAGAACTGGTACGAATCTTGAGCTGTTATATACACAAAAGTTTAGTCTCGAGTAATTTCTTAATTAGAAAAAAAACGTACGGAGTAGTAATAAAAAAAGAGACTATAAACTTTTTTACCGCTTATAAAATTTTGAATAATATTCACCAGTATGACACAAAATTGTGAACAACATGCAGTGGCGCCATGGCGGATGTAGCATATTATAAGAGTTGGAGGCCAATGCCCCTACTAAAATTAAGGGGGCTCGTCTAATTAAGCAAAATTTTAACCTTGTTTTAAAATGTCTTTTAATAATGTGTGTTTTATTTCATATAATTAATAGTTTATAAAATAAAATTTTACTTTGTCTATTGAAAAACAATCACGTTCAATAAATGTTTGAAATATAATTCTTTATTTTTTGTCATTACATATTGCCTATTAGAAAAAACCCAGAGGTGCTACTGTAGAGATACTCACAAGTTGGGTTCGAGTTGGGCTTCCACCTCTGTTGGGCCTCTAACTAATTCGTTAGTTTGTTATTTTTGTTAATTTTGTTGTAATTTTTAGTTAGGCAGTTTTGACAGCTGTCCCTATCCTTTTTGGACAGTTGTCCCTTTCCTTTCCATTATATAGAGCTTGTTGTAATCATTCGTAGACTGATCAATGGCATTTTCTTTAGTTGTTCTTCTTCTATTTTCTGATTTTCACATGGTATCTGAGCGCTTCTGCATTAGAACATTTCTGATTGATTGATCCTCCATTGATTTCATAACTCCGATTTCGTCATCAATGGCGGAAATCAATAATGAAGAACGGAGAAATGCTTCTCTTGATCCCTATGGATTTACCGGGCAGGACAACCCTGGTTTAGCCCTCACGACGGCGAAATTCACCAGAAGCAACTTTTTTGCTTAGAAGAAGACGATTACTATGGCCAAACCTAGAGCAACGGATCCAAATTTTCAGCATTGGATACGAACGGACTACATGATAACTTGCTGTATCCTCAATTCTATGACCTTTGAATTATCTGATTCCTTTTTGTATGTGAATTCGGGTGAGGAACTATGGTCAGAATTAAATGAGAGATATGAACATACAAATGCTCCCTTGATATATCAGACTCAAAAGGAATTAAGTGAGATACATCAAGGGAGTCTGACTGTTTCTTCGTATTTCACAAAGCTTAAAAAACAATGAGAGACATTACAAGAACTCAATGCCTATCCTACATGTGAATGTAGAAAACTGAAGGAATGTACATGTGAGTTCATGGAGTAATGAATTTCTATTGAGAATAGGAACAAGTTAATGCAATTTTCTGATGAAGCTCAATGATGATTGTGAAGGAATTCAAGGACATCTACTGTCCGCAGAACCTTTACCTACGTTGAGCAGGGCCTTTTACATCATTCAACAGATTGAAACTCAGAGAAATGTCACTCATAATGTTCCGGAATCTGGTGCTTTCTTTGCTAATAATGATGCAGGGAAAACACCTCATTAGGTGACAGGAAGTATTGCAACCACTGCAAAAGTAAAGGTCATGTATATGAACAATGCTTTGAAAGGATAGGTTATCCGGATTGGTATAAAGGAAAGAAGAACAAGAAGTCAGGATCCTCAAGGTTGATAGCTTATGCCAATTATGAAGAAAAAATTGAAGAATCAAGTCTGGAGTCTCCTTTTGAACATAGTGGTGGTTCCAATGACAAAGCTCCTATTGATTAGGAACTTGTCTCAGCCATCTGTCGGGAAGTTGTGAGGATGTCCAAAGGAAAATCTGGACAGGGAGATTTCAGCACTATGAACATGGTTGCATCTAGCTATGCAGGTATGGTATCTGACTCATCTTTTGTTCTGAGTAGTTTGAGCACTAATGTGGACAATAAGTGTGATTGGAGAGTTGATACAGGAGCCTCAGAACACATGTCTCCCCCTTTTAGATCTCTTCTTCAACACTGTCAGTTTAAATAACCCTATTTCTATCACCCTACTTGATGGCGCCATTAAGAAAGTCAACAAAATGGGTCAAGTTGTCATTAATCCACAATTCATCCTGGAAAATGTTCTTTATGTTCCAAATTTCAAGTTTAACTTGCTTTCTGTTGGAAAAGTCCTCTTAACCAAATCCTGGACAGCACATTTCTTACACAATTTATTTTCCTTCCAGGACCTTATGACTAAACAACTCATGGCATCTGGAACAAGATACAAAGGCCTTTATCTCCTTAAAGTTGCATCCAAACGTGGTGTGAAAGCTGATTCACTCTCAGTTGCTTCAGCAAATAGTCCTTGTCATTTACCACTTTCTTTTTCTTCAGTAGTTCAAGTGTCAAATAAAGAGTCTCTGTATACACTTCATGCTAGATTGGGTCATACTTCTTTGTCCAAATTGTGTCATCTTGTTGGTTGTGATTCCTCATCATAGAAAACATTTGTTTGTGATGCTTGTTCTATGGCTAAAATGCACATATTACCTTTTCCCAAATATAGTGCCACTAATTCTGTATCACCATTTGTCTTAATTCATGTGGATTTATGGGGTCCTTATAGGAAACCAGCTTTGAATGGAGCCAAACATTTCCTAACCATAGTTGATGATAAAACTAGAACCACCTAGACATACTTGTTGCATAATAAAGATCAAGTATGTTTTGTCATCAAAACCTTTCTCAATTATGTTCAAAACCATCATCACACAACACCCAGATTTGTGAGAAGTGACAATGGGACAGAGATAGTTAAATCTAAATGTCATGAACTCTTCTCCAAGCTTGGTATAATCCATCAAAAAAGCATGACCTACACCCCACAAAAAATAGAGTGGTTGAGAGAAAACATAGACACCTCCTTGAAACAGCTAGAGCCTTGAGAATTTATGCAAATCTCCCAATTGTTTTTTGGGGAGATTATATACTGGCAGCTACATATCTCATCAATAAAATGCTCATGGAAAAATTTTCTTGGAAAACCTCCTTTGAATTCCTTTTTGGCATCCCTCCTAACTATGATCACTTAAGAACTATTGGGTATTTGTGTTATGCCAAAGTTACCACTGCTTCTAAAGATAAATTTGCTCCTAGAGGAAGAAAATGTATTCTTCTAGGTTATCCAAATGCCCAAAAAGGATACAAACTGTTTGATCTTGACACCAAAGTCAGTTTCCTTAATAGAGATGTTTTCCATGAGCACATTTTTCCATACAAGTCTCAACCTTCCACCATAGAAGCTAGTCCAGATGTCTTTTATCCAAGTTCCTTCAATCTCACTGATGATGACAATCTTTCATTGTCTAATTTAGAATCTAATTCACAACTTGTTCATTCCATTCCTACAACTTCTTCTCATGAAACTGCTGTTGTCCCTTCTGAAACCACATTCCAAACTCCTTTCACAGCTACACCATCACATTCTTTACCCAGTACTAGACCACACAGACTTTCAAAGATTCCAGCCAAATACTCAATGTATCTTTGTCCTACACTCAAATCCAAAGGACAAGCACATAGTTCTACAGCTCATCCCCTCTTTTCAGAGGAATCCTTCCTACCCTCTCCCATTGGTTTCACCAATTTCCTGGCTAATGTGTTAACTACCCACACACCTAACACTTATGCTCAAGCTAAGCAGAATCTAAGTTGGGTCACTGCCATGTCTAAAGAGTTAGATGCTCTTGAAACCAATGGTACTTGGGTTTTGACATCCTTTCCCAAAGGCCATACAACTATAGGTTCTAAATGGGTTTACAGGATTAAATATAAACTTGATGGTACCATTGATAAATTCAAAGCTAGATTGGTGATTAAAGGTTACAATCAGAAACTTGGCAAGGATTATAAGCATACCTTTTCACTTGTTGCCAAGTTTCCCACTGTTAGAGTCCTTATTGCATTAGCTGATGCCTTTCCATGGTCTTTGCATTAGTTAAATGTAAATAATTCCTTCCTTCATGGTTATATTGATGAAGATATCTACATGCTACCACCAAAAGGTTATACCCAGGCATTACCAAGGCAAGTTTGTAAAATTGAAAGGTCTCTTTATGGTTTGAAGCAAGCTTCTCGCCAATGGAACCTGGAAATAAGCAAATTCCTTGTTGATCTTGGCTACACCCAATCCAAACAGGATTACTCTCTGTTCATCAAAAGAGATGCCCAAGATCTAACAGTGGTTTTACTTATGTTGATGACATGCTTTTAACAGGAACTTCCCCACTGAGATTTCAGCAACTAAATCAGCTCTGCATCACAAATTCACTATCAAAGATATGAGTCTTGCAAACTATTTTCTGAGAATGGAAATTCGCCAACACCAGAATGGCATATATGTTAATCAACGCAAATATATCCTTGATCTCCTATCAGATGCTGGTTTAACAGGAGCTAAACCCACCAAGTTCCCTTTACCTCAGAACTCAAGCTTACTTTACATTCTAGAGAACCCCTTCCTAAACCAGAACCTTACAAACGCCTTGTGGGACATGTTTTATATCTTGGTCTCACTAGACCTGATGTCTCCTATGGTGTACAACATCTCAGTCAGTTTATTTCACCCCCTACAAACCAACATATGCAAGCTGCAACACATGTGCTTCGTTACTTAAAGGCTACTATCAACCATGGCCTTAATTATCCCGTCCAACAAAAGCTACAACTAATAGAGTTTTCTGATGCTGATTGGGGGGGTTGTCTTATGACTCGTAGATCACTTGCTAGCTATTGCATCTTTTTTGGCCATGCTTGTGCTTCGTTACTTAAAGGCTACTATCAACCATGGCCTTAATTATCCCGTCCAACAAAAGCTACAACTAATAGAGTTTTCTGATGCTGATTGGGGGGGTTGTCTTATGACTCGTAGATCACTTGCTAGCTATTGCATCTTTTTTGGCCATGCTCTCGTTTCATGGAAAACCAAGAAACAAACCTCAGTTGCTCGCTCCTCCACTGAAGCCGAGTATAGGAGTATGGCTGCCACATGTGAGCTCCTTTGGCTAAGTTATCTGTTGCAAGACTTACATATTCAAGTTTCCCTGCCCTTCACAATGTTTTGTGATAAAAAAGTAGCTCAGCAAATTGCTGCTAATTCTTGCTATCATGAACGCACAAAGCATTTTGACATAGACTGTCATATCACACGAGATAAGGTCCAGGAAGGCTTTCTGGAAAAATCTTATGTACCCTCACAACACCAACTTGCAGACATCATGACGAAACCTCTAGGTGCCTCACAACATGCAGCTTTGTGTTTCCGGTTGGACCTTCAACAAGTNGGATGTAGAGATACTCACAAGTTGGGTTTGAGTTGGGCTTCCACCTCTGTTGGGCCTCCAACTAATTCGATAGTTTTTTATTTTTTGTTAATTTTGTTGTAATTTTTAGTTAGGCAATTTTGACAGCTATCCCTATCCTTCTTGGACAGTTGTCCCTTTCCTTTCCATTATATAGAGCTTGTTGTAATCATTCGGAGACTAATCAATGACATTTTCTTTAGTTTGTTCTTCTTCTATCTTCTGATTTATCACAGCTACCCTCGTACTCCCGATCCGTGGTGCTCCAACTATCCGAATTATATTCTTAGATCCACCACTCACAACATAGATGTGTTGTGTTTGTTTATATATTGTCTGAAATATAATTACTTAATTTACATGTTTGAATATTTTTGTTATTGTGGTTATAAAATTCATACGTAAAATATAAATTTTTTTCAATTATTTTTCATGGACTCACAATTGAATATCTTTTTCTTACAAGACCCACTACAGATTATGATTTTATTCATTAAGATCTACTCCGTATATATATATAAAATAACTATGGACCTAAGAGCTATGGAGGAATTTGTTGCATTTGAAATCTTAGTCCAATGTATGCATCTTGAATTTCCATGAAAAATTAAATTAAACCTACCAATTTTTTACTCCCTCATTTGCCCTATCACTATTTTTTTCCCGCATGCCCAAGACTTTTTTTCTTTTGTGAAATAAGTTCATGCTTTGACCAATTTCATTCTATATGCATATAATAAGGAGGGGAAGGGGATATTTCCACGTGGGATGCTTCTTTGATGCACTTTTGGTGCATATTAATTTTATAGATCTTCTTATATAGTTTTTTTTATTTAAAAAAATAAATACTTATTTAAATAATAAAGAAATATTTATTTTATTCATATGTAGATCCAGAGTGAAATTTAGATCTACTATAAAAAATTTTCCCACATGTGCACCACTATTATGTTTTCCTTTTTTCCCCACCTTTCCTGAATTTCTTCCCCTATTTTCTTCCTATACTCGATCTCTTCCATTAAATTAGCACTTTTGCACAACTTCTCTCTAAATAATCTTTACCTACCTTAATCATGACCCATTCTTCTTTTTCTTAAAGAAGAAAAATACCGAGTAGATTGGGACGGAGGGAGTTTCTTCAATTCTCTCGCAAAATAAAAGTAATACTTTCACTCAAGAAAAGTTAAGAATTTTTTTTATAATTTTTTTATTTTTTATTAAATAAAAGATATGAACATAATAAATTAAACTGAAGATAATTTTGATTGAACATAATAAACCAGAGGGACTAGGTAGGTCATGTTGTCTTTATTTGATCTGATTAAAATAAGTTATAATTTGACATAGTCTGGTCTGATGTGAATATAGACTCGTATTATTTTCCTGAGAGAAAAGCATTGAAGGATGGCCGTAAGCACTACATATTACATTTATATCACTTACAAAAATTTCCATGGCCTATGGGCTATGGTATGCTCCCCACGGGCCTATACCTACCCGCAATCTCTAATTTTTTCCACATCCTAAGATTGGTTCAAGCATTTCAAATGAAAAAGGAAATAAAATAAGGGGGTAAATAATTTTTTCCTGTAGGAAAAAAAGAAAAGTGAAAAGAATTGTAAATAAAATAAGAAATGAAGTAAAGGGATTAAAAATAAGGGTAATTTAGGTAAATGAGACTTAAAATAGACTAGTCCTATTACTCTTATGTTTGGCAATGAAAAGTTTTAAAATGCCACCTTTTACACAACTCAAAGAGAATAAGAATTACTAAAAACAATTTTAATTGTCATTGAAATAATAATCAGTATCCAACACTTGTTGGTAATACCCACATCTGCAGAGTCATTCGTATAATCAGTCATTATCCAACACTTGTTGCTAATGCTGAAGACATATATATATGACGTACATATCCTGCGGAAATATGTGTCATAAAAAATATAAAACATATTTGATCTTATTCATAAAAACGTGCTATCTTTTAGTTCTGTATAAAACAAATTTTTCTAAAAAACAATGAAAAATAGAAAAGAATCATTTCTTCTCCTCTTCTTTTCGAATTACACAAACCAAACATAATGTCAAATAAAAATGAGTACTAAAATCTCATAAATAAAGAGGACGATTTACCAGTCATCGTATCTCCTGATTTTTCATAGTCGGAGGATGTATTCGAATAGGAGAAACCAACTCCCGCCGGCGACTCCACAAATAATATATTTGCAACTGCAAATCTCATATAATATATTTGCGACTGCATTAATTATCTAAGCTACAAATTACAAAAACTTTTGATTGAGTTAGATTTTTCTGCATTTATATGTACCTTTATTCCAAGAAAATTTTCTGGGGTAGAGAGTTTTGCCATCGGGATTGACACCAAAAGGACCAATCTCAAGAAAGGCACCGGCGCCGAGGGAGGAGAGACCAGGGCCTCCGCTCAGCCAAAGGATGAGAGGCTTAGTGTGAGGATCCTCGGCGGCGGCGGACTCCACAAAGTAATAGAAAAGACTTCTTCCCTTCCCCTTGTCAACGTTCACGTAGCCTGCGTACTGCTCGAAGGGCTTCCCGCCGCCGCCACTTGGCTGCCCCGGGAGGCCGCCGGAGATTAGATCGGCCGCCGCCGCATCAGCTTCTGGACTTATTAGCTCCAGATCTTCATCATCATCAGCATCTTCTTCACGGGTAGTTCCCAAGTTTTCCCATGCTGAGAATGATGTTGTTGCAGCTCCACGCAAGGACATGATTAGTAATCCATGGACTTGATCCATTTTATTATCATTATTATTATTCAATAACCCATGACCAGATTTCAAGAGGAGTAGCGCATTAATAATGACGAGAAGAAGAAGATGATGATGAAGAAACAACAACACATGCTTCCCCATTGAGTAGTAATGGAGCTAGTTTATATTCAGCTAAGTATATATATTGATGGACAAAAGCAAAAGATGCGGTCCTTCCACGGAGAAAATTAATGTGAATTTATCCTAAATAGAGAGAAGCATTAATAGGGTCATTAGGGTGTACTATGGTTGCGTTGATGAGGTTAATCTTATGAGGGTCGGCCTCGAAATGTGAAAAAAAATGGTCATGTGCAAAGTTTACGTATTGAGTCCTATTTACTTTGCGCCGAGTATCTGTATATTAAAATTAGTGCTAAATTTGATTTTTATTAACAATTTGACTTTTAAAATATAAATTTATACTTCAAAAATTTTAATTTGAAAATATCAAACAATAAAAATAATGAACATATAACAATATTTCGCCCTTAAAGTTTGGGGGCTCTTTGCGGGTGCGCACATTGCACCCCCTCCGGACCGCCGATGAATCTTATTGTACTTCGGTCTTCTGAAAAAACACAGCTCCCACGCGTGTGCCCAATTTTGTCTTGGAGCCTCTTCTTTAGGAAGCTAACTATTAAGTTCTAGTTTCTTTCTATTTTCAGTTTCTTTCAATTTTTTCGGGTTTTCTAGTTTCTTAGTTCCATATTTTTTCCAAGTGAAATTTGCACTAAATAGTACTAAAACATATGTCATTTCTTAATGTAATATTTAAACTTATTTATTTCCTAAATAGTACTTAAATAATGTCTAGCAAGACGTAGGAACAGTGTCTCGTGATGTTGGACATGTAGAGGAAGAGTAGAGGCTTCTGTCGAGTCCACGAGATGCCAACATCCAAACCAAAGAGAGGACATACTCCAACCCCCAAGGGAGCATGCTTATGTAGGAGTTCCAATACAAATGATACAGTATGGCTTACCATCAATGACGTCCATGCAACCTCAGATCACGACAACATATCGAATACCAACTGTGAGGGAACCACAAACTCCAAACCCTCCACGAATAACGCCAACACCAGCTTCAACAACTCGAGAAGTTCCCTTACCTATAGGTAATCTCGACCCATCAAACTCTGACTACGTAAAGATTTTAGTTGATGTTATCAACAAGGGATGTCATGTCTATGATGGAAATCTCGATGCAACTAGAGCACATGCCTTATAACACCCTTATCCGTCCAGGTCTGCAACCCTTTTCGAACTAAAGTATTAACTTGGTAACGTAAAAATTTCAAACATTTAAGAACTTTATTTCAAGAATTGTGCTAAATATTTCATAATAACATCGGAGTAAAATTATTTAAAACAGTGCGGAAGCAATTTACAAACTAAAACGATATGGTCAACAATGTGATAAAATCATTTACTTAAATAATAGATTTGTGCACGTCCACACATCACCTCCATCTAAGTAATCTTCAGAATAGGCTCTACATTTATTCTCTGTCATGCCTACGTGTAGAAAGATGAAAAAGTCTACACGCTCAACAATGAAGCTCAGTGGTATCATGGCACAACAAAAGAATTCACAGAATAAATTCTTAAACAATACCAATCACATACAACAACAACAACAACAACAACCCAGTTAAATCCCACAAGAGTAGGGTCTGGGGAGGGTGTGTGTACGCAGACCTTGCCCCTACTTGAAAGTAGAGAGGTTGTTTCCAAAGAGACCCCCGGCTCAACGTCGAAAGTTGCATTGCTTGACTGCTACTTCATTAATTAAAAAAGCGCAGACAGATTAGAGATCCATTTTGATTTATTCCATCACACCCCAAAGCCAAAAAATGGTGAAATTTTGGCTCCATCGGAGATGATGGAAATAGGATTTTATACCAATCACATACTTGATTCTTAAATATCATCATTCAAGCTTATGTAGTAATCAGTCCATAATTCAAAATAGGATTTTATATCTTCAAAAATAGCATAAAAGTTCACGTGAAATGTGAAAAAAAGGATTGGTCATGTGCAAAGTTCACGTGTTCAATACTATTTTCCTTTGGGCGGAGTATCTCTATATTAAAATTAGTGCTAAATTTGAATTTGATAACAATTTGACTTTTAAAATACAAATTTATACTTCAAAAATTTAAATTTTAAAATATCAAACAATAAAAATAATGAACATGTAACAATATAGTACTTCGGTCTTCCGAAAAAACACAGCTCCCACGCACGAGCCCAATTTTCAATAACATTGAACCTACGAATAATTCGCCCTTATATAGAGACCTAGTAGCTCCTTTTAATATATCCAATATCCACTGCGTATTTGTTTTTACCTATAAGAAATTCTACTCAACTCCCCATGGATGTTTGATGTAGGAATATTAAACTTATGATGTGTATGTCATACATACCTTATGGAAAAACATAACGCTCCACTAACTGATAACTCAGGTTTGGGGTAATATTTTTAATTCTCTTTTTGGCAATTTTAATATTTTTAATGTTTAATTTTCATTTGTTTAGCTTAGTTTTATTTTAATTCCTATTTTTATAAATTTTTATTTCCATTCAAAGATAGTAGTTTTTTTTAATCTTTTTTTTAATTTTTATTAACCCAAATTAACAGATATCTTATTTTGTGGAGAAAGAGTGTAACAAGCGAGCCAAATTAAAGTTCATATTGGAAAGAATAAATTGAATTTGGGCTTGAGCCCAAATGTATTATTAATTAAACAAAAAAGAAGAAGGGGCAAGGCTTCATCCCCATTATCATTCTACGACAAAGAAGTAAAAAAAAAAGGGGTCTGCAATTGAGGCCAATAACTCCTTCGGCGGAAGGCATTCAAGAGGAGCGCTTGATTTAAATTCATGAGTAAGTGACGGACGCCTTCAATTATTCAACAATCTTCGAAAAATAAAGAAGAGAAATTTAGACTAAAACATAATGACTTTCCCAATATATGACCATATGTTTTTATTTCCCAAGACCTTTGGTCATTATGAAGTAGTCATTATTCAAGTAAATGTCCATCCCTCACACTAGGTCATTATTAAGTCCTATTTAGGGGATAAAAAAGTTTAAGTTCTACGTTAGGAAAGTAATTATGTTTTAGCCCTATTTAGGACAAATTTCACAAAAAAAAATTCCTCCAGCCATAAATTGAAGCAGCGACGCCTAAGCAGCAGAGGGGGGACGGACCGGAGAGCTCCAATTTGTCCAATTCTTCTTCTTCTAGAGGTACCCAAATAAATTGGCTTCCGGACTTAATTATTTTTGTTACTTGTTCATGTAAAAAAATCCTAAAAAAAATAATGGTTGGTGTTCTTTTGGGTGTATGTTCTTGTTTTAAATGTTTATATATAATCCCTTATGAATGAGAATTGATTCATTCCTATTTACTTCAATTATTGCACAAGTTGTTGAATTGGTTAAATTGTTTCAAATTCATAAGTAGATTGTTATGTAGAATTTGGTTTTTATTGAAACTATTTTAGCTCCATAAGATAGTTAAATAACCTCCGAATTCATACGTGATTCTTTGTTGTGCTTGTGTTTGTTGATTTTAAGTATTTCGGACTTCTTAGCCCCATAAGTTAATTCATTTCCTTAGAATTCGTTATAGAGTGATTTTGTTATGTTATGAGTTTGTTTTCCATTTTCTATAAATTGAGATTGTTTAAGTGCAATAAACAATTCTTGATTTATTGAAAATACGTTGTGTTCTTCTATGTGAATAGAAAAAACATCATTGGTTTGAGGAGTTCATGAAAATATATGAAATGTTCTCTTCATTAGGAGAAAAAGTTTATTAAAATACATAAAGTATTGGCGATTTGTGAATAGATTATGTATGAGAGTTGAATGCATAATAGATTCTCTCTTTTATAAACTTTTTCTATAGTGGAAGTATGTTTTCATGCTTGAATAGAGAGTTGGGGTTCAAAAGTACGGAGTATATTTCAAAACGAGCTTTTGAATTGCATGACTCTGGGCCATGTGGAGAGTTGACAATTCTCCATATCGTGGTTAAGGAAATGAATCAACTCGGCCTTTGATTGATTTTTTTCTATTCTTAAGTGCGTAGGTTACGTAATATATTGTCTACGTGCCTATTATACGTGTAATGTTCGATTTGTGTTTGTTCTCTTTTCTATGTTGTTTCGGGTTCTTGATGGTGTTTCTTGGATTACCTAAGTTGGAGAAGTTGATTATCTTTTGAGCGAGTATTTCTCCCATTTTATCAAAAAACCAAAAAGTTAGAAAAATATAAAAACAACAAAAATAATTACTTTGTATTCAACCCCCCCCCCTTCATGTTTTAAGTTATCGTATAAGTTTTTATTCATTAAGTTATAGTATAAGTGTTTGTTTATAAGTTATATTATACTCCCTCCGTCCCATGAAACATGAGACTTTTGCTTTTTAGAGGGATTTAAGGGGAGTGTATTTTGGTATTGAATTTCCAAAAATGTTCTTTGATGTGATGAGTAAAGTATGATTTGATGGATAGATTCTTAGTAAAAAGGTATGATGTAATAGTTAGGGTATGAAAAAGTAAGGGGTGAAAATGACTTTTTAATAGAAATGAGAAGTGTTTTGTGGGACGGATAAAAAAAGAAAGGAGAAAAGTTTTCATGAGACGGAGGGAGTAAGTTCTTTGTTATATAAGTTATTTATAAGTTTCTATGTTTATTTTTATAATAAGTTCTATTATAAACTTTATTAGTGTTACTTATGTATAGTATTTAGTTTAATTTTTATATTTTTTTTCGTAACAATGTATTTGCATACTAAAATGATTTTGAAAAAAATACAAAATTTCCCCATGGGATCGACCCTTACTTGCCCTATCTATAGTTCTTATTTGATTATATTTTGGGGGTTAGCTAAGGAATATATTATAAATTTTTAATTTGTTTTTGACATTACTACAAGTCTTCAACACTAACCGACTTTTTATTGTTACAAGTTTAATTTTCATCCCTTAAAGGCAAACTCTTAACTAATTATGGTTTTCCTAGGGATATGAAATAACTCTAAGATCTTACCGGGTAACATTAGATCTTACAGCTCGTTGCCATTTCTTGGACTTGATGCTCATGAGATTGGTTAATCACTCATCTCATGTTGTGAGTCAAAAGTCGAATCGCATTCAGACAGACCAAATCTAAACTTGTGTTATTTGAGAAATCTTGAGTCCCAACATATCGTATCTCTTGCTCATGTTCCATCCTTAGAAATGCAATGTCCTTTTAATCTTGAACTCCTTTAAGATCTGTCTTCCTCCCATTGACTTTCAGGAAGAGGAATTTCTTCTTTAAGAAAACTTTATTATGAGTAACAATACTTTGTTCTTTAATATGTGACAGAACAGAATTGGCATTTTAGCTTGTGAGACTTTAAAAAGCCTCATTGTGCAATTCTTGAAGTAGTTCAATTTTTCTTTCAATTTTTTCAGTTTTTCTAGTTTCTTAGTTCCATATTCTTTCCAAGTGAAATTTGCACTAAATAGTACTAAAATATATGTCATTTCTCAATGTAGAACTTAAACTTATTTATTTCCTGAAAAGTACTTGAATAATGTCTAGCTAGTGGTGGGAATAGTGTCCCATGATGTTGGACATTTAGTTTGAACAATGTCCAATGCTAAATTTGTAGTGCCTACTAGTTCGAAGTGATTTATGTTGGGTTTGGGCCCTCAATTATGTGTTTTAAATCCCATTTGAAGAATAATTCACCAAACTACTCAACTACAAAGCTCACCAAGCTGACTAGATTTTGACCTTTGACCGCCGCTTGCCGCCGGCAACCACCGACCACCTACCGTTGCCACCGGCTGCCGTGCCGCCACCAGCCATCGCCAGCCACCATTGCCAGCAGGCGCCACCTGCCGCCATTGCTACCCGGTGGTTGACAAGTGTTGCTATTTTATTTTTAATTAATTTTTTAATTTTTTAAAATTTTAAAAATGGTGAGTTTTGGTGTTCAAAGTGCTGAGCTTTGCTTTATTTTCAGGTGAGCTTTGCATTAGCTATTGATGAACTTTGGAGTGTAATGTGTTGAGCTTGGCGTCATCTCACCGAAGCATGTCGTCTCACCCTAAGGTGTGATTTGATTAGAGTCAATCCCTATACATACATACATGGGATTGACTCCAGTTAGATTACACCTTACGGTGACATGACATGCTACGGTCAGATGACGCAAAGCTTACCACTAGCCACTACAAAGCTCATCAATTGTTAATCCAAAGCTCACCAAACTCTAAGGCTGTAACGCCCCAAAACATACCCTAAAATTTTTTAACGAATAATTATTCAATTAATCAAATTTGTTCTGATTAAAATAAATCATTATTTGACTTTGGGCCGAAATAAAATATTGTTTTGATACCCAATATTTGAATCTGGATAAATCTCATAAAGATAAATCCATTATGTTAACTATTTGTGTAACCTTGATTAGGAACCAGAGTACAGACCCAAATCAAAAATAAATTAAGAAACTGACTTGTGATGTAAATATTGAAATGATTTATTAAAATAAATCATGAGAATGAATGACATGAATTAAATGAGAGAACCGTTTTGAATAAAGGTAATTTAAATAAATTTGGACTCTGTCAAAGTCAAACACCTAAAAATATGATGTCAGAAAAAGTATTACACATAAATATAAAACCTATGTCGTTGGATAGAGCTTGACTGTCTAGTCGCAACGGTGCAAACGAAATTTAATTCGGAGAAAGTTGGACCAAAAAGTGCACCCCGACTGGGACCAAATTAGTCCCAATCAGGGAAGAGCTGTACAGACTGCGCCTCCTTCTCCACTATCTCCATTTTACGATCAATGATGCAAACCTACAGGGATTTGGCTTGGTTTCTTCCTCAATAGCCTTACTATATAAACCACCATCAATCTCTCCATTCCTCACCAAAACTTGATAAGTCTAGCCTCATTTTGTTCTTGGGAGTGTGAGGAATCTAGTGGTGTTGACAAAATGGTGTGAAGTCGCCGGATTTGGGAGAAATCGTCGCCGGAAAATTTCCAAAACCTTTGTTTGGCTTCGAGGTAAGCCCGTAGATATATCTATTGATTAGAATGTTCATATAGGTCGTTTCTACGTTCATAAATGGTCATTTGGTTGAGTTTTGTATTTGACATGCTTGAAGAACTAAGAATCACAAAACATGAAATTGATGTTAAAATTATGAATTAATGATGCTAAAATGATCTATGAACCTTGGAGAACATTTTTATATACTTTAATTGAAGTTTGGGGAGTAAAAATGACATTTCCGCAAGTTGACTCGAGGTAGAAGACGATGAATAGTCAACTATCAACTTGAAAATCGACTATGGCTTATTCTGCAGATTTTTAGAACTTAGCTCAGCAACAGTCGACTGTCAGAATGTGACAATCGACTGTCAGCCCTCTCTGAAGTTTGACAATCGATTATCAGAGTGTGATAATCGATTTATCAGCCCATTCTAAACATCAGACAGTAGATTATCAGAAGTGACAGTAGACTGTCAGCGTATTCCGCTGAAGAAAATGAAACCAGTAACTACTAAATGATTTTTCTATCATATATTAATCAATTGTTATTCAGAAAACATGATTTTTGAGTTATGGAATCCTATATTTTGATACCAAACCATTATGATTAATAAAAGGATGATTTCTTGGAATAAAGATGGTGTTTTAACAACTAAAAGAGATCTTACGTGATGCATGACGGTAAGCTAGGGTTTTAACACTCGATGCTAGGCCGCTGATTGTTATTAGTTATTATGATGATTGATTGATTGTTCATTTTGATGAATATTATGGATTAATGATGATGAATATTCTGGATGAAATGACTGTTGAACTAAGAGTATGAATTGATGAATAATGTTGTTAAGGATATCTAGAAGAGTTCTAAGATATATCCATATTGATGTTGGTTTCTAATACTATCTAGAAGACCTCTAAGATAGGTTAGAAATAGGCCTTGCGGGTATGATGCCCGGTGGCTGGGGTTAAAACGTATGTACGGGATCCAAGAACCAAACTTGAGATACCTACTCGTTTGGAGGTACCACCCAACCGAACAGTGAACACTACGCTGTCGGTTTTTGGTTGACCTTAAGCGAAGGTAAGTTTAAGATTTGAAAATACTTTTTAAAAATATATCTTAAACTAGGCCTAGCTTAAGGATTAGAATATCTTGAACTAAGATCAGTTTAAGAATGGAATTGGCCTTAGACTAAGCATAATTTAAGGATATTGTTGAATATTGAATATTGAATATGAATGTTGATTATTGAAACATGGAAATAAAAATATTGAGAATATCATGAATGAATTATATATTGTGTGCATGATATCAAATGGTTGTTTGTGAATTTAGATTCAATTTATGTGGATGTTCGACGCTTTAGATATGCTTACTCAGTTTCACCGCTGAGCGTGTAGTATGTTTTATTTGCTACACGCAGGTTAATAGAAAGAATGATGTGACGTGATTCTGGAGGCAGACGGAGGCGAGATTGTCGGAATGGAGGTGATGGTTTTGAATTAAAGAACATAAATAAATTATGTTTGTAATTATGATTTGTTAAGCTTCCACAATATTGAAAACTCCGCACTGTATATGTTACGAAAAATATTATCGTGATAAATAAAAGTGTTTGAAAAGTTTTAAATTTTACGATTACCAAGTTAATACTTTAGTCCGAAAGGGGCTGCAGACCTAGACAGATTAAGGTGTTACAAATTTATATTGTTTATTCATGTATTATTTTATTTCATATTGATGATTGATTTAATTCTATGTTTCATTATTCAATTTTTGCAGTTTCTTTTCCAATCAGACTGTGATTCAAGAGGTTCGACGCATAAACAAAAAACTATTCAACCCAGAAGCAGTTAAGTTCTTAGGCATATCAAATGCTCGAGATACGTATTGGGAACAACTTCAGGCAAGCACTCTTAGAAACTAAAAAATTATATTTTTTTTACATCTAAATCTTGTTACTTGAACTGATTTAAAGTTTATTACTTTACGTGTCACAGCATCGTTTTAGATGGGCTCCTTCACATCATACAAAAGTGTGGAAAAATTACTTCCACTTGGTTGAAAGCTCGTATCGAAAAAAATTGAATAGGATCAGAAGGGACATTATTCAAAAATCAATCCCTGATTTTTTGCCAGATAAAGATTATTCTCGTCTTATTGCTTTTCGACCAAGTAACATTAGTGAGCAAAACTGGAAGAATTTATGTACAATTTGGAACTCAGAGGAGTGGCAAAAAAAATCAAAAGCTGGTTCCGCAAATCAAAAAGGTGATCTCGAAATAAGTAAAGTTCTATTTTTTGTAATATTTTATGAATTTTTCTATTAAATTGATTATTGTGTATCTTTTATTTTTAGGTAAACTGCTTGAAGGTGAGGTCACAACAAGAAGTACATTGGGCACAAAGACAAAGTCACAGATATTAAAAGAATTGGTAAGACAAATAATATTTTTACGTGTGAGAAGTACTTTGGGTTCAAAGACGAAGTCACTGATTGACTAAAATATATGGTTTTTTGTGGCTTCGTTGTATATAGTCTATTCAACTAGGTCGTCCTTGTCGTTTAGATGAGCTGTTACAACATATGTGCACAAATCCAAAAACTGGACAACCATATCCAACTCGACATACTCGAATTTTGGTACGTACTAAGTATATCATATTTACAGGTTTATGCCTTTTTAAATATTACATGTTGTCACACTTTTTCCAACTTCTTAGGAAAAGTATTGTGAAGTTATGGTTACTAAGTTTGATGAAGATCGTGAAAAGTGGCCAGTGTTTGATAAAGATGCTTGGGTTCAAGCATCTGGTGGGGTTCAAAAGGGAGATCAATGGACTGGTGTCCCTTTGGAGTTTTCTAATCCTGATGCATTTACTTCAGCGGCTATGACATCACAGGTAAATATGATTGTTTACGCATATTAGGTGTTATGTTTTGTAAAATGAAATTTTTATGATGCCTTTTATTTTATTGGAAAAAACCAAAATGGCTCAACGAGAAGAAAGAAAACGTCATCGCGAGGTTGAAGAAGAAATGGATGATTTAAGAAACAAAATGAGGTCATTCAATGCATCAATGTCAAATGTTTATCGAGGACTAATAAAAAGAGGAATAATTCAAGAGAGTGAAGGGAATACTTTCCTAGTTGCTAGTGGATCCAAATCTGGAAGCAAAAAGAAAACCCCTCGGTCATCAAAAACAGAACAGCCTCCTTTTGAACCTTTTTCTAATGAGAGTGAGGACTCAGATAATTCATTATGCTCTTCAGATGATGATGAGTTGGATCACAGGTATATTCAAAATTTTAAAAATAGCAAGTATTCAACTTCTTCATATCTTATTGACTAGGTAACAATTTTATACTTGTTTTTTGGTAAATGTAGAAGAAGATGAAGAATAAATGCTCTGCAAGCACACAAGTAATGATGACATTGCCATAAATAGGAGCTTGGTACTTTGATGTTTTTGAGTCTTGGACATGTTGAAGAATGAAGTTGTTTTGAGGGAGTATGTTTGCTGTAATTACATTGTCTTGGATCATGATGAATGTGTTTTTTAATGTTATTTCTTTGGTGGACTTATTCGTAAAAAAATTGATGTTTTTTAGCAAGTTTTAGATCACATTGGACATGTGTTACAATATTAAGATTGTTTAAGACTTTTTTTTTGTTGGGTTGCTTTATTCTAAAAAAATAAAAAAATATTGTACCAATAACAGCAATTAAAATCAGGAATTTTTTTTTACGCTATTAATATCAGCATTTTTTTATATTTAGATTTTGAGACAGATTTTAGTCTCTAAAATGAAAAATTTTAAAATATGGCTGGCCAAGTTTATACACATAGGAGACGGAATTCTGTCTCATTTCTATGCCGTCTCATTTCCGTCCCAAACAAGAGGAGAGGGAATTATGTCTCATTCCTATGCCGTCTCATTTCCGTCCCAAACTAAAAGAGACGGAATAATCCCGTCTCAAATGAAAAGAGACGAAATTAATGAGACCGATGGATTTGTCTCTTTTTCGTCTCACGTTTGAGACAATTATGAGACTAAATTACCGTCTCTTTTCTGCCTGCATTCTTGTAGTGAAAAAAGAGTGCTATTAAAAGGAAAAAAAAAGGAGATGGACTCGTGCTATATATTTAGGTAAACTCCATATGTTTAGGTGATATTTTTTGATGAGTAAATTTCACATATAATAAATGTCCAAATTAAATAGAACAAGGAGCGAGCTCTAGTGATGATGATGATCACCACCTCTAGTTATGAACATGTTGAGCAAGGTGAAGGCACTGAGCGGGTTGGTCTGTGGAACTAGATGCCCTCCCCCTTTAACCGTGGCAAAAGTTATACCCTTATATTCCACTTTGTATCCCGCAACCTCCTGCAACCAACCAACACCAATTAAACACAATATAGGAACTATCAAAATTATATCTTAACATAAATCTAATTATGTTTAGTTTATATTACTCCCTCCGTTCCACAAAACCCTTCCGGTTTTGACTTTGGGGGAAAATAAGGAAAGTGTAATTTTAGTTGACTTTCCAATTTTGCCCCTGATGTGATGGGAAAAAGTAAGATGTGATAGTTTGGTTATTAGTGAAAAAGTATGATGTGATAGGTAGGGTATGAAAAAGTAGGGGTAAAAGTGGTTTTTTAATAGAAAGTGGAAGTGTTTAGTGGAAAGCAAAAAAACGAAAGAGGAAATAGTTTTGTGGAACGGAGGGAGTATAATTCAACATACTTTTGTCAGAATTTATGGTCAAAGAGTAGTAGGTTTAACTAAAAAAAATCAAAACAGGAAAGATATTTTTGACGGGAGAGAACAGTATAGTTCGTATTCACGTCCTTACTTTGTGGGTGGGATGCTGCCATGGATGCCAAGGTTTCAAAATGGTAAGGTTCATAGCATCAAGAGCATAACGAGTAGATGTCACAGGAACAACAGAATCGGCATCACCACTGCCATATATATATATATATATATATGCACAAATAATACACCTTTAACATTGAGCTTTAAATTACTTGAATAATAATTTAAACAAGATATTATATTACCGCATTAAATTATTATTATTACGGTAACATGCAATATTGTGTCGTCGTCGTACGTTGTGCTTACCTATAAAGAAGAATATGAAGAGCAGAAGCCATCAACCTTTTATATATAGGGAACATCGTTGATGGGCTGTCTTTCCATTCTTTTATCTCCCCACTTCAACAACGTACGTACCCATGCAAACATTTATGTAAGACAAATACTCCGTTGAAATAATGATTGATGATATATTAACTAAACAAACCTCAGCTCAAAAATCAAAGGAAAACTACATATATTTCTGAGTATGTCCGCATTGACCTTGGTAAGGTGCATTTGGTGTCAAAATCATGGGATCCTCAGCACTCCTCAATCTTATAAACTTTGGCTGCCCCGTCCTTTTTTTCTTAATTAATGTATTTGAATTTAAAAGTTCATGCATACAGGTTTATTATTGAAATTAATTATTTTCAAATCCTTTTTTCAAAAGAATTATACACCGTACTTCTTTCGTCCCTAAAAGTCTTTCTTCTTTCTTTTTTTTCTGGTCCCAAAACAATCTCTTTCTCTTTTCGATTAAAAACTCACTTTTACCTTGGTAATTTTTTACCTACCTATCCTATTATGCCTTTTTATTGATACCCATCAAATTTTATTTTTACCCATCGCATCCCTTAAATTTACAAAACTATCACTACCTTAAATTTACTAATTAAAAGTCAAAACGGAAATATCTTTACGGGACAGAAGAAGAATTATACTCTGTTAAAAGAAAGAGAATATTTGGATATATTTGTGTATATATTGTTTTGGTAGTTTTCCTTGTATAGGATTCTTTCCTTTTCCTTTACTAATAAGGCGTCTCAACTTGTGAGATCCTATACATATATCTTTATTGTAAATTGTAAATACAAGAAGAAATACAAGACAATTTTCTCTCAAATAATTCTTTCATGGTATCGAAGCCTAAACCCTAGGAATTTCCGTGGCTACTATTCACGATCACCCGACATTGCGTCCATCGATCGTCGCTTGGTGTTGCTGCCGAAAGACTGGAACGGTAGAAGGCATCGACCGTCCCGGCGGTAGTTTCTTCAATTGCTACTGCTGTTCGATCGATTCTTTACCTGTGTCAACCAGTATGTCTGAAGAAACACCCATGAAGATTATTTCCAGTAAGAAGAACGAGGAACGAGAGGAGGAGGAAGTTGGGGTGCGATGTCGTCGTATTTCTCCATATGATCTGTCCCCGAGCAACAATCTGGGTATGATTTTGACCCATGTCGTTCTAAAGGGGGGTAATTATGATGAATGGTCCAAATCTCTGCGTTTGGCTCTTCGAGCGCACAAGAAGTTTGGATTTATTGATGGAACGATAGAGATGCCTGATCCTCATTCGGAAGATTTTGATGATTGGTGGAGAAACCATTCATTGTTGGTCACTTGGATTTGGAACACGATTGATCCAACCTTGAGATCCAACATATTGTTTGTGGAAAAAGCTTCAAATCTGTGGAGTGATTTAAAGGCTCGCTTCTCTGTGGTTAATGGAACGAGGGTTCAGCAGTTGAAGCGGGACTTGGCGGAATGCAAACAGAAGAATCTTTCCATAATGGAATATTATGGGAAGATAAGAAGCTGTGGGATGATCTAGCAGATTTAGAGTGGTTCCCAGTCTGTACGTGTAGGAATTGCACATGCGACTTGCCGGAGAAGCTTGCGTAGATGCGTGAGAGGGAATGTTCTCATCAATTTTTGATGGGATTGAATGATGCTTTATATGGAACTTTGCGGTCAAATTTGCTGGCCTAGAAAATCATACCACCTGTGGCAATAATATACAATATTCTTGTCCAAGATGAAACAACACGGAATGGAATGCACAAAGAAGAAAGCAATGAAGCAGGTGCGTCCGTGTTTGCCGTAAAGAACAAGATGGAGGTCAAGGAGCTTGTGCGCTCTCACCTTGGCAAACCAGGGCATGAGGTTGAGGCATGATCTAAACTGATCGGATACCTAGAGGGATGGGTGTTCCGCGATCAGGCCGGAAGAGGAAGAGGAAACGACCAGGGAAGGGGCCGTGGAACTGGACGAGGTGGCGGACGGTCGACTATTCCAGGCGGACGAGGTGATGTTCATGATGTTCAAGGAGAAGAAAAAAGAACCTTCACTGCTGCCCAATTTCGAGGATTTGACGTCTGAGCAGTGGAATGTTGTTTGTCATGCTCTTTCGCTCTCTTCAACAGACACTTCTCAAAAACATTCAGGTATCCCTGTATCACCTCGTTGGATAGTTAATACTGGTGTGTCCAACTATATGACAAGTGATCTATCGTTGTTGTATGATGTGGTGGGGGTGTCCCCATTTAAAATTGGTTTGCCTGATGGAAAACGGGCTGTGTCTGTTCAATTTGGAAAGGTTGACTTAACAATGACTATGACTTTATAGAATGTGTTGTTTGTTCCAAGTTTGAATTGTCATTTGATTTCTGTGTCATATCTGACAAAGGATATGAATTGTGAGGCGAAGTTCACCAATGACTTGTGTATCTTACAGGACCTAAGGTTGAGGACAACGATTGGTGTGGGTAGACAAGAAGAAGGACTATACTATTTGAAGAAGGAGGAAAGGAGGATGGCGTGCAATGCTACGAAGGAGAATTCTTTTGACCTTTGGCACAAACGTCTAGGACACCCTTCTTCACATGTTTTATCCTTAGTTCTTGTAGTTGGATCGAATAAAAGTAGTCATAGTCATTGTGATGTCTGTTTAAGTGCCAAACAAACTCGTGCTAGTTTTCCCATTAGTTTTCATCAATCTATGGACAAATTTGATATGATGCATTGTGATTTATAGGGTCCCTATTGAATTCCGAGTTTGGATGGATCTACGATGTTTTTGACTATTGTGGATGATTTTTCTCGTAGTATAGGAAATACTTTTAAACAATTTTGTGCCATGGTTGAATGCCAGTTTGGGAAGAAAATAAAGTGTGTTCGCCGCGATAATGGCACAGAATTTGAGTGCTTGAATGAATACTTCCAGGAAAAAGGAATTTTTCACGAGACATCTTGTGTGTCTACACCTCAACAAAATGGTAGAGTGGAACCAAAACATTGGCATATTCTGAATGTGGGTCGTGCTCTAAGATTTCAAGTAGGGCTTCCCATAGAGTTCTAGGGAGATTGTATACAAACTGCGGCGTAATTGATCAATCGGACACCCTCGTCGTTTCTAGGGGGTGACACCATATGAGAAGCTTTATGGAAGGTCACCACCATTGACTCACATTCGTGTTTTTTGGTTGGATATGTTATGTCCACAATTTGACGAGGGATGGCGATAAATTTGCACCCAGAAGTGGAATACTTTTGTGTTACCCACAAGGGAAGAAGGGATGACGTATCTATTTTCTGGACACGGGGACGATAAGTGTGTCCTGGAATGTTGTGTTCTGTGAAAACGTTTTTCCTTTCTTAATTTCCATAGGTGAAACTTCCAAAGAGGATGCATTGAGTAGCAACCCAACAATTGATTACTTTGAAGATGCTGAAGAAATACCCACGGAAGAACCTCAAGACCATTCCCCAAGGAACGGTCAACCGCCGGGAGATAGAGCCGCAAAAGAGCTACAGACGGTCGACCTAGTGGACCGTATTGATGACCACGGTCGACCGTCGGAGAGGCAGTGTGACGGGAGTTCAGGAGGTGATCCGACGGTTGACCACCATATGGAGGACGGTTGACAGTCCCCGAGGCAAAAAGTTGATGATCCAGCGCAGCTAGAGACTGTCGACCCCGGGGACCGTACCACGGATGGTGGTCGACCTTCCACTTCCCAACAAGCAGTGGAGACTCTGGGGCGTAGTCAACGGGAAAGACACCCAAATGTGAGACTTGCAGATTATGTCACACATGTCACTGGACCGCATATCGAAGAAAAATGCAAATATCCATCTCCTCACATGTCACATATGAGAAGCTCTCTGACAAACACAAGTGTTTTCTCACATCACTTGACGAGGAAGTGGAGCCCATGAGTTTCAAGAAGGCATTCTAGATGAACGATGGGGGAAGGCTATGTGAGAGGAGATTGATGCGCTGGAAGCTAATGAAACGTGGTCTCTTGTTTCTCCTCCGCGTCATAAAAAGCCTTTTGGTTGCAAATGGGTGTATAAAATCAAGCGCAAGTCCGATGGAAGTGTGGAGAGATATAAGGCCAGACTGGTTATACTTGGTAATCATCAGGTTGAAGGACTTGACTACAAGGAAACCTTTGCTCCTGTGGTCAAGTTAACTATAGTACAGACTCTTCTAGCTGTTGCAGCTGCAAAGGGTTGGGAGTTGCATCAGATGGACGTACACAATGCGTTTCTACATGGAAATATTGAAGATGAGGTATACATGAAATTGCCACTAGGTTTTTCAAATTCTTCTAATGTGGTGTGCAAACTGAAGAAATCTCTGTACGGCTTAAAGCAAGCTCCAAGGTGTTGGTTTGCCAAATTGTCTCGAGTCTTGAAATGCTATGAGTTTGTCCAATCTGTTCCTGATTACTCCTTGTTTTCTTTTGTTGGAAAGAAAGGAGCAATACATGTTTTGGTTTATGTTGATGATTTGATTATTGCTGGAGATAATACATAGATGGTGAGCAAGTTCAAAGCCTATCTGGGAGATTGTTTTCATATGAAGAACTTGGGAACGCTGAAATATTTTCTTGGAATTGAAGTGGCGAGGAGCACGTCTGAGATTTTTTTCTGCCAACGAAAGTACGCTTTGGATATTATTGTTGAGGCATGATTGTGAGGTTCCAGGCCATTGGGTGCACCCATGGAGCCGAATCATCACTTGGCTCGTTGCCAAGCTCCTGTTGTTACAGATCCAGGACCATATTACGTTTGGTAGGGTGATTAGTCTATTTATCAGTTACACGACTAGAGTTTTCTTATGCAGTCCATACGTTAGCACAATTCTTGAAGGAACCCAGGGAGGATCAGTGGTCTGCAGCTCTTGGGGTTGTTCGTTATTTGAAAGGATGTCCGGGTCATGGCATTTTTCTATCAGCAGAGAGTAGTCTTCAGCTCACAGGATGGTGTGATTCGGACTGGACAGCATGCCCTTTGACGAGGTGGTCCTTGACAGGCTGGTTTGTGTAACTTGGAAATTCGCCTGTTTCTTGGAAAACTAAGAAACAAACAGTTGTGGCTCGCTCGTCTGCTAAGGCAGAGTATAGGGCTCTTGCTGTCCTTACTTGTGAGTTGGAATGGTTGAAGAACTTATTGAGGTGCTTAGGGGTTGAACAAAAAAACCCTATGACCGTCCATTGTGACAGCACAATGGCTCTTCACATTGCTGCTAATCCAGTTTTTCACGAACGCACAAAGCACATTGAGATCGATTATCATTTTGTTCGTGATGAGCTTGTACGAGGAGAGATTCGTGCCATTCATGTCCCTACTACGCATCAACTTGCAGATATTCACACGAAGGCACTAGGGAAGTCACAACTGGAGTTCCTTATTCCCAAGTAGGGCATTTCTTGTTTCATGCTCCAACTTGAGGGGGTGTTAAAAGAAAGAGAATATTCGGAGAATATTTGAATATAGTTGTATATATATTGTTTTGGTAGTTTTCCTTGTATAGGGATTCTTTCGTTTTCCTTTTCCTTTACTAATTAGAAGTCCCAACTTGGGAGATCTTATATATATATATATATATATATATATATATATATATATATATATATATATATATATAAGTACGGAATTTATATTGAAAATAATCAAAGGATGTTTACAGCAATGTGGGAGAAGCATTCATCCCACCAGTTAAGATTACTAGACAGAAAAGCATTGCGAGTTATTTCTATTAAAGTGCAAACGAAAACCCAAGGACTTCAGCGTTTCATCCATATGCATCCATTTCTTGCCTTTGTGAATCCATATCCATTGTTGTATCGTCTTCATGACTGTTGCGATAATAGTCCCTTCTTTGAGGGCTTTCCCGGCGTATTTCACTTCGTTGTGAGCCTTCCATAGTCCCCATGCAATGAAGCCGGGGAGGACCGAGGTGATTTTATCCTGCAGCTTGTTCCTTGGCGTGCTAATCCACCATTTCATGCAGGTATCGTGTAGGGTATCTTCCCTACTAGGAATGGGACCATCAAAAAGAGCTGAGAAGAACCTCCAAATTCTGAAGGACAATTGACACTGGAAGAGGGTATGGTTGAGGTACTGCGGGCCGTTGAGACAGAAGCTGCATTGGGAAGGAAGGGCAAGGTTAAACCTGGATAAGTTTTCCGGGAA